CCTGCTGAAACTGGAAACAAAGAAGGTGAGAGAAAGCCGGGATTCTACTGCAATCTATGGGAATATAAAAATAATGTCGCAGTAGAAATTGTTATCTTAGATTTTAAGTGCTAGATTTTTTCTTACCTGAATCTTTCTTATTAAACAGTATTCATAGAAATATGTAAAAAAAATCTGGTTTGTTTTTTTTTTTTTAAGATGCCTTTGCAGCATAAATGACAGCTTTGTATTAGTGAGTACACTAGGAACTGAAATTAAAACAGATTGCCAGGAAATGAGGGGAAAAATCACGCTTAACTTGTTAAGCTCTGTAAACTATAAAAACTTGGACCAACGACTTAAGATTTTGTAAAGTTCTGTAAGTGATGAAAGATGTTTCAGAACACTTTACTTTAAGAATGTAAGTAGGTTTTACCAAAAGTCAAGAAAATTTTTTTTTCTTTCTTCTTTTATTTTTTTTTTTTACTTAAACATACCAAGTTAAAAGATTGCTTTCTGCTTTCCCTATGATTTTTTTAAATAATGCTAGTACACATTCCATCTAGCTTGGCTAAATAGGCTTGAATTATGCTTCATGCAACTGGAGAATGTGTAACACTTGAAACAGGCTGTTGTATTCTAGTTTTGAGAGAAATACTGGATCATTGTTCTATTACTGATAAGCAACAGTTAAAAAAAGATGATTAGCAGAATCAATTGTTCATTCCTGAAGAAATATTTTGGTTTCATCAACTGATGTACTGTTAAGGAGAGTCACTAGCTATTTTCTATCAGTTACCAGTCTAGATATGGTCATTTACAGAAAAGCAAAAAGATCGAAATACTGAATTAATGCTAAAATGAAAAATACCAAATTGTGAAGTCAAACATCAGATCAATACAAATAAAAAATTCAGATTCAGCAGCACACATTTCTGGGGACGGGAGGAGGGGAGGTTAAATTTCTGCGTTGTCTTTGAAGGCCGTTAATTCCATGACCATGTGTAGGTCAGCCTGGGGAGTATTCAACAGTAACAGGATTGCAGAGGCAAAGATGTGGATAATGACCCAATAAGTCTTTGGCTTCCATTTCAGTTGTTAAAATAGTGATAGAATAATGGGATTCTGCACTTCAGTTATATGGAAGGTGTCTTTTCTCCTCTTCAGTGGTGGTTTGCTATTCCTACACAAGTACCACTTCAACCCCAACATCTACCCCTGTTCCAAGTGGCAGTGTAGCAACAGTGAAGTCCCCCAGACCTGCCAGTCCAGCCTCCAATGTAGTCGTCTTGCCAAGTGGAAGTACTGTTTACGTCAAAAGTAAGTGATACTAGCAACTGATTAACAAAAGGGAAAGAAAGGGACAGCCTTGTGGCTGAAGCATGGGCTGAGTTAAACACTCTGACCTTGGGCAAGTCATTTAATGCCTTTATGCCTTTGTTTAGTCTAAAGAATGAATTTATTGCTTCCCTTTTTTAGAGAAATTGTGTTCAGGATAAATCCTCTTGCTGTAAAATGCTGCAGGGAGCAGTAATGGCAAGGACAACAAGAGCAGAAAGTATTTTGAAAATAAAATATAGGAATTGCTGTATATCAGTGGATTTTTAATCCAGCTTGTTCAGAACTTGTCTTTAAGGTGGCTCTGCTGGTTGCTTCTGCAGAGGACTTAATGTCTTCGTTCTGCTTAAATAATGCATACTAGTCACTTGAGTTAGGAAGGGTCCCTCCTTTCTACTTTCACAGTTGACCTAGCCTTTTTTAGAATACGGTAGTTTGGCAAGCATTTATATGCTTATATTAACTATCTCTGGCCATTTTGTGATTTGTTTGGAAGCAGATCTTAGTGAGGCTTGCATTCGTGGGCAACTGTGAAAAGTCTGTACGAAATCCTACCAGATACCCATCTTCATGTATTTAAATTTGTAAAGCCAGGGCATAATGTCTAGAAACAGTCTTTTTTTTCTTGTGTCACCACCCCCCTTCTTTCTTTGGCCATTAAATCAGCTAGTTCTAAAAGCAGAATATGTCCTCATATGTTTGCCCAGCTCATCAGAGGTAGTTTTATTAACTAATAATTACAAATGTTTCCTTCTGTCCTTATTTGATGTCTGTCAAAATGCAGGTGACAAATAAAGAATAAGAATGAAGTTGATAAGTGCTATTTTTATGCTTGCTGGGGATACCTTTAATATTTCAAAAATTATTTTAATCTTTATGCTATTTGTACATGTTTGTATAAACTTCTAGATAGTCAGATATGTCACATTGTACATAAATACAATGTTACCCGCAAACCACCGTGTTTAAGGGCTGTATCAACCCACGGAACCCAATACATTAAGATTTTTCATTTTTCTGATTTAATGCACTAATCACTCAGCTTTAGTTTAAAGATTCAGGGGAAGATGTTCTTAACCTCTTAAAAATTTAATTTAGACCTCTCTTGAATTATTACATGGTAATGAGTGTAAAACCAGTCTAGACACACGATAGAGGGATGAAAGGTTCTCATTTTTATTCTGTCCATCCGTAGATTTCATTTTTTCCACACTTCACTTTCTTCATTTTTTAAGGAAACGAGTGTCTTTCAAAATGTATTATATCAGTCACGTTAGTTTTAACAAACCTGCTTAAAAGCAAACCTGGGAGGCCTGAGTTATAGTTGTGACTTTGCCACTGATCTGTTGTGTGACCTCATCCAAGTCACAGTCTGATTGAGCCATTAACCTCTCCGTGCCTCTGCTTCCTTGCTTGTCAAGCGTGAGTTATAGTCGAGCTGTATTACCTTTTAGCTAAACGCTTGTGGAAAACTTTGTGCAAATGCAGTTGCTAACATGAAATGATAGGAATAATGTTCTTGCAGAACCCCAGCAATGAAAACAGGAGATGAAATGAACTGTACTTAACATAAAATAATTTTCTGCTAGTTTAATCTTACGTTCTTATTTCTGTGTTGTTTTTTTTTTTAATGTGGATGAGGACCACAATTAAATAGCTTCTTCCAGTATTTCTTGGTCACCCACCAAAATAACAGGTGTGTCCTAACATCCTAGCCGCATGTGGATTTTTAATTCAAATGGGTTCTGAGATTCTGAAATCCCTCCACATTTTCAATGTGATTGGTGACCGCACAGTTATAAGTTTGCATAGCGCACTCACAGTCGTACTTAAAAGCCTGTTCATAATAGACCTTAAAGTCCTGTAACTAAATCTCTGCTTTATAGATGGAAATCACCGCTAGGCTTGTTCAAGGCCATAAAGTAAATTGTTGATTAGAGCTTTGAAATCCGGACTCGTAGATCCATGCTTCATCTGTACTGCTGCAGCCAGCTAAAACTATTTTTTGGAGTTCAAAGTAAACTTAAAATAGAGCCTTTGCTTCTCTTCCCTAGTTCAGTTTCCCGTCTTTGTGTGGATACAACCATCAGCCTTCTGAAGTGTACCTGCAAATGAGCTGGTACTCGTACTAAGAGAGGATCTCATTTTTCAGAAGTCACTTGCTGTGCTGCTGGGTACTTTCTTGTCCATGTTAGTTCCTGCGTCTTCACTTTTTGAATGCCAGAATATTTAGTAATTTTAATTAGAGATTGACCATAATTAGATCTTGACCCTAATTAGAGATTGACTGCCAACCAAGTTTGCTTGGGTTACCAGCAAGACTGCTTTTTGCCATGACAGCATTTTTTTTCTTTAAGCCCCAAGCATACAGAAGATCTTCAGTCTTGTTCTCCGTAGGGGGGGTTGCCTCTTTTTGGCTTATCTCTGTTTTTTAAAATTGTTTAACACTGTCTAATGGTAAACATAAATGCTACCCAATAGCTGTAAGAGATTTTCAAGGTTATTAAACTGTGTATTTCTGTAATGTACACCAATTTATGAGCCTGTTGCATACTTTGGAAAGTTTCATATGGATTTAAGATCTATTGATCACACTGTTATCCTTTACTCAGCTGAATATTGCAGCAAATGTTTTTCTATGTGTGCAGTAGATGACTGAGGAAGAATGAACTCCTTTGAGGCCTGACCTCTTTTGTTTGTCACGATTGTGTGTTAGGTGCCATTTTATATCTGTTGCATAAAACGCACCAAGCAAGGCAGAAGCTGATAAAAGTGGGGTTTGACCTTCACAGTTAAAGTATGTCATTTTAAAAAAAAAAAAAAAAGCTCTTGAGATGCTGTGTTGAGGTAAAAGGAAGAAGGGTACTGTAATGATAAACCTGGCATGAAAGTAGGTACAAAGGCTGAAATCAGAGAAGACTACAGGAAGATAAACTTCAGTAGTCTGGTTGCTGTAAACAAAACCAGCAACAACAACAGTGTAGTGTAAAGTTTTAAACTGAAATGTGCATGACGTTATCCCAACCCTCTTGTGTGTGTAGTCCCATTAGTCAAACTGCTGGAGACAGAATGAAATCCCTGTACTGGCTCTTAAATTCTTTTAATCTCTTAAACTGCATGAAGTAACCCAGTAAATGAGTAGCTTGGATTTTTGGGGGTTTTGTTTCTTTGCTTTATGGTGCTGTAAGTGTGGTCTGTATCAAGGACTAAGACCGTCTGTGGTGTGATACAGGTTAGTTGTGACCGTAAGATGTAATTTATCCTCCATTTGGTTTGGTCTTATTTGAAAGTGGGTATAAGACTCAGCAAGTTTGTAGTGTTTTAGAAAGCATTGAGAGCTGCAGATAGGGAAAATATAATTTAGAAAAAGTACTTCTTTTCCAGGTGTCAGCTGCTCAGATGATGATGAAAAGCCCCGCAAAAGACGCCGAACAAATTCTTCTAGCTCTTCCCCTGTTCTCCTGAAAGAAGTCCCGAAGGCAGTGACTCCTGTCACTAAAACTATCACAGTGCCTGTAAGTGGCAGCCCCAAGATGAGTAATATAATGCAGAGCATTGCCAACTCCTTACCACCACACATGTCGCCTGTGAAAATAACCTTCACTAAGCCCTCAACACAGACAACAAACACGACAACACAGAAGGTATGTGGGGGAAGCTGCCAAATGTTACTTTATTCTGCTTTTATCAATGAATGAGATGTGATGTTTGACTCCTCCTTTCTGTGAACTGTCTAGCTGTTTTTTAAGGATTGTGCTTGGGGTAAGGTAATCCCTCTTTAAAACGAACAAAGAGAAAACCGAACTCTTGTATGAATTTAGTTCACCTGTGTGTGAAAGGACCTGGATTGACAGCCGTGGAGACTGAAGCCCTCTTTTTATCCACAGAACAGGTACAGCACAGGCAGCGGGAGTGCAAGCTTCCCCCAGACTGCCCCACCAATGTGCCTCAACCCTGACCTGAAGGGACCACTTCTAGGGATGAGAGGGGATTCAGTCTCCATGCTCATTCAATTCTTGGCCTCTCTGGTGAGACTGCCAACAAGGTTGCCAGTTAGTACCATTTGTGGTGTTGGGTTTTGTGATATGGACACTAGTCCACTGAGAACTGGATCACATAGGCCACTGAACAGCCTTCAGATGGTAACAACTATTGGTCAAAGGTAATCTTTCTTATTTCTATTTTCCTTATTTATAATTATTCTTTGCAGTAGTAGAATTCCAGGACAGGTGGCATGGACTTTCCCTTGCCAAGCCTTTTGTCTAGAGACTAGTTTTTTGGGGTCTATAAAGCTTATTCTTGGAGCTGATCAAAGAGTGGGGGGTTTTATTTTCCTTTCAGTACTAGTGTGTCATTTCTCATTCTACATTAACAGTGTTACAGTGGTCAAAATCAGTTGCATTATTTCAGCTGAGTGTGCCCAGCTTTCACCAGAATGCAGTCTGTGGAAAAGGTTTTCTGTGTTGAAATTTTGTATTGGATTCAGATTTTTGCATGCCTCATCTATGGCATGACTATTTTCCCATGCTTTAGGAAGCATTTCAGATATGTCTGCTTTTTTGTTCTTAAGATGTAAAAAATTAATGGCTCAAACCAAGTTCATTCTTGGTACAGTTATTAATTAAGGCAGACTTGGGGCGGGGGGTGGTCTGTGAAATTAATTTGGCCTTGATACCAACAGTCTGATGGTAGGCTGGCCACCAACAAGCATTTTTTTCCAACTGTGAGAGTTTGACTGTTGAGCTGAAACCTTCACACAGTTTTTGTTCTATTAGTCACCTTAATTCTTTTATGACTCTTTGGATTAACAGAGTTCCCATGTCCCAGTTTTTGAAAACTTTAAAACCAGGGAAGGTTAACTGAAGCAATGTGCAATAAAGATCTTGCTTTCTGGCCTTTTCCCACTTCAGACCTCTTTGATGCTTTGATTTGATTCACTGTTCTTTAACAGTGTCCTTAATCAAATTTCATCTCTGAATACATGTATGGAAATTCGTGAGTGAGCATAAACCATCAAATGTCCTGCATTCAATGCAGCAAATCCACAGCTAGTATAAGGCTTAACCTACCCATCTTGTTGCTCTTGTTAGGCTCATCTTTTGTGCAGGAAGAATTTTTTTTGCCTTAAATGTCTGTAGTGTTGTATTAAGTATGAGTGCTATATATCATGGCAGTTAAAGATGGAGTATATTAAATCTCCAAAAGGAAGAAAATCGGCTGTTGAAAGGGTCTTTTCTGCAGTCGTGCCTCTACTTGTTCTGACATGGAAATGTTAGAGTTTGCTTTGCATAGTATTATTTGATTCTCTTACTAATCTAAAATGATAGGAAAATCATCGCTTGTTTCATTAGGGAGCCATAGTAGTGTTTGTGTCTGAACTTGTCACACTGCCCTCTCTTGTTGGATTTAGATATGCCAGAATATGTAACTGGATCATTTTGGTGGGAGAAATCCCTTTTAGTAGTTTTAAATTAAATGTCAGACTTGTTACACGCAAATTGGAAATGTACTATTTTAAACAAGTGCTGTTGGATATGAGTGAAATTCTTGATTTCTGCATGCCAGCTTTCTGAATTGTTTTGACATTTTAGTAGGTTGGAGGAAGATTTGTGGAACAACTAATAATGTCACAGCTCCAATTTCTAGATTCTCTTGTAATAAAGTCCTCTGTTTGGGACACAGAAAGAATCTAGCTAGTGAAGCTTCTGGCAGTTAATGCCTTTATTTCTTCAGGGGCTAGGTTTTGATGTCTCTCAAAATAGAGCTGACAGGACTAATTTCAATGTGTTAGGAATCAGCTTTGACCATAACAGTTAAAATCAACAAAAAACCAACTTGCTTGGGTTTTTTTATTATTGTTGTTTTGTTTTGTTTTTTTTAAATCAGGCAGTCTTTCTACTGTAAAAGATGTGATGCAGTTTTGGTACCCATGCTGAGGTTACTTCAGTCATTTCAACATACATGAGAAAATAGTATCTCAAAAATATAGTTGTTGTGATTTGAGCTTTAATACTTTTAAATTTTTTCCCAAAAATTCTGTTTTCTGTATATACTTTATACATGAAGATCACTAAAATCTGTTCTACTGTGTTAATTTTGAAAGAAGAAATAGAGACCCAAGCCTGCTTAGTCACAGGACAGCAATCATTGTTAAACTATAATGCTTTACAAGCTTTTTTCCTTGCATGATTAAATAAAAGTGTTACTAAGGGATAATCTTGGACTGATGGTTTTATCTTTGTCTTTGAATGAAGAACAATGGTCTTCAGGAGTTGTGATTATGCCCAGATTCATCCTACATATCCGTACTTACTTACTTGAGATGCTGAACTTGCTGTGTTGCGCTGCGGATTATATAGGAAGTTCAATGTGAATAATCTACCTTTTTTAACTGCAAGTTGTCCTTTGACTATATGCCTAAATTAGTTATCCTAGGTGGAATGGAGCTGGCCCTAAAATTCAGACACTTAGGAAGTATTTCTAGTGTTAACTGACTATTTAAGAAACAAGATAAAACTCCAGAGGCACATCATAGGGTCTTTTTACCTGCAAGCCTCATACCAGAATCAAGCTGTGTTGTGTTCAGCTCGTCTGCATGGTTGTAGCCTAAGTGCAGTTTCACGAGGGTGTTTTGATTAAATCAAGGTTAGGCAGAAGGCAAAAATAAGAGGAATACAGAGAAACATTCTCCCTGGAGAATGCAATAAAGTGGTAGAGCAGCAGATGTGAAAACCTTGTCTTTTGAGGCATTGGTCGGTTGTGGTCAACCTACTGTAGCTCATGGAGGTAGTAAGGTTTTGGTTTTCCTCAGATCAAGATCTTAAAGGCTTAGCTAAGCACTGGGGACCATAAAACTAAATGCTAGGGCTGAGGCAGCCATGGTGGTGAAATTTGCTGCTTTTATTGCATCCATGTGGTTATCTTTTTTTTTGGTTAAATTCTTAATCTCTTACTGCTTGATCTGTCACGTAAGTCTATTTCTGGTGCCATTATCATATTATTTCTTTTCTCTATTGGGCAAGGTTTCAGTAGTCTTTGGGTAGTAGTGTAAGACACTTGATTTGAGCTGACACAGGTTTTCTTTGCTCCTTCTGTACCTTTTTTTCTATCTGCTTTTGTTACATCAAATCATGAATAAGTTTTAATTTCCAAGGTTTTAATAAATGAAATTTTTATTGGGAGAATTGCATTATTAAAACAATTTCTCAATACTCTTGCATGGTTAACTGAAAATATGTTGTATTTCTGTGCTGTGTGTTTCTGTTTTAACTGTGTGTTTGTGAGTACAAAGAAGTACCTATAAGCAGAATAAAAGGAATCTCTTTATGTAAACAGTCCCCATATTCAATACTTAAGAAATGCTGAGTTTCTAGGTCAGTTGCATAAGAACAGACCTCTTCCAATGTTATAATGAAGTCTATGTTTTTCTATGTCAGATCAGATTCATGGTGTTGTAATTGTAACTTGCACTAGGGGTAATGTTTATTCTCTTTAGACAAATGTTTTTCAGACAGATAAGAAAGAATTTCTTGTTATTGAGAGCACCAATTAAAGCAGAAATTGTTTCAAACCTAAACCAGTTTTTTCACAAATGAAATACTGTTTACAGCCTTGTGGATCAAAAATACGTCCCATTCCTGACTCAGCAACTGCTCGTTAATTGTTAAAGAGGAAAAAAAATCTATTCTCTCATTGCCATTTCTTGATGTGTGTGCAAGGTTTGGGAGAATGGTGTTTAAAACTTGCTGGAAATTCCTTCAGTTCCGTTTAAAATGGGCTTCACGCTTCCTGGCCCAGTTTAATGAAGCCAAGCAGTTCGTTCCTATTTGCCTTCAGACATGAGATAATTCTACTTTAATTAGATTGTAATTATTTTCCTGAAAAAAAGCCCTTGTAATTTTGCGGAAATATTTATCACCACTTCTTCAAACTAATTGAAAATTTTTGTTGCCACCAAATGTGATTATGACACTCTTAAATGGTCTTAATAAACATGTATCCCTGAAACTAAATACACGTAGAGATATTCCATTACTGAAATGTATTACTGAAATGTTAAGTTTTTAAATAAATGCAAAGAACAAATGAATTTCTTGTTCTTTTTCTTTTTTCAGGTGATAATAGTAACCACCTCTCCAAGCTCAACTTTTGTACCCAACATCCTTTCAAAGTCCCACAACTATGCAGCAGTTACGAAACTTGTCCCAACGTCAGTCATTGCCTCAACTACTCAAAAGCAACCAGTGGTTATAACCGCTTCTCAGTCCTCTTTGGTCAGTAGCACCAGCAGCAGTAGCTGTTCCACTCCCACCTGTACTGCAAATACTATTGCTGTGACTGCTGTAGTATCATCAACGCCGTCAGTCGTTATGTCAACAGTAGCACAAGGTATGGCAATAACATTGTATTTATAAAAGCTCTTTCACTGATGAATTGGACTTTGTATTGAGAATAACATAGGGAAGATGCACTTCGTGTTTACATATCATGAGTAAAGCACAGGAGATGTCAAAGAAGTCTACTGATGAAACTAATCCAAGAGACTCTGCAAAAGTTCTTGTTGAACTCTTTTCCTCTTTACTTCAACATTTAATGTGTAGATCCTCTTTTCAAAGGGAATGTGGTGAGATGGTGTGGCATAGCTTTTTGTTTTTAAAACACTTTACTTGCAGCATTAAAACACTGTAGCCTCAAAATGACTGGCTTTAAGAACTCTATCTGATGCATGGAAAATGGATGTTTCCAATATTTGAAGATAATTGCTTCTCTTAAAGCCTGATTTACAAAAATGTGCAAAGTTAGCATCAAATATATACAACTTATGCTTGACATGCACAGTCTTTAGAATATTTCTTGTGGTAACTAATCTGATGACAATTCTGAAAAGTAGAAAAGTATTTACATGTTTTTATCTGTGTATTTTATCAGCATGTCACTTTTCAAGTCCTTAGAAATTAAGACCTGAGTGGGCCTGGATTAAAATTCCTAGGTTTCTGATTTCTAATTCCAACTCTGTATGCTAGCTTCACTGTTTCAGCTCCACAGCCACTAGCTAACATTTGGAAGGGAAGCTGTGGATGAATGAAAGGGCCTCGGTGAGCAGCACTTGAAAAATACTATGCCTGACAATGACAAGTGCCATATTTTTCCTGGTCCGTATTTTCCATTCTTCTTCTGTTCCACAAAAAATTGGGCAACCAAGTCAAGGCTGAGGCAGTATTTTGAAGATAGTGATGTGCAGAGCACAAGGGGTTACAGCAGAATTTCATATTGTTTGAACTGTGGTTTTTTAGTTGGGTTTCATCATGGAAGAGGCTATAGTTCTAAAATACATTTGGTGGACTATCTCTTAACAGTTTTTTTTTTTTTCCCCCGAGACTACCAGTGTCATTGCAGAAAATGCTGGTGAAACATTTTGTGACATAAACTGATAATCACTTCAAATGTGAAGAGAGTTAAATTCATGAATGAAAACAGCTGACCAAGGAAATGGAGAAACCATCTTAGATGATGCAGTGTAAAAAAGAGTTGCTTATTTAGATTGCCAGAATTGTAGTTTATTATGATTTCTGTCATTATCACTGCCACCTGTAAATGTAGAGAAATAAGAGAGGAGATTTTCTTTCTGTTTTCCGCTACAACTGGGGCTTGTTTAAAAACTGCCTTCATAAGGCCACAGACTTTGTCTTTTTTTGTGCTTACGGATATGCAGTTTAGAATTATAGGTGAAGCCAAATTTTGCTGTAAATACTGTGACAACTATGTAAGGGAACGACAGAAATAAGTATTAAGACACAGTTCCCAAATAAATCTTTCCATCTTACTGCAGGCTTGTTTTAATCACTTTATTACTTGTAAGATCACCTAACCTATCAGCACAAAAAAAATGTGTTTTCCACAGTTTTCTAAATTACATACCATTGCTTGATTAATTCTTTAAAATAACATTGTGCTCGCTAACAGATACTCCCTTCTAATGTTGATGGGTTTGATGTTTGACATCCTCATATCCCTATCTTCTTGTAGTCATGATTTTCCCTATAAACATTTTGTTTTCTTGAAGCTTGAAGATCAGACTTTGAAAAGATTTGTGAATTATTTGTACTACAAAAGGTGCAGGAAGTAGACTGAGGTTGTGGTCTTTCCATTAGCTGCCGTGCCACACTGAAAATCTGTATAAAGCTCCCTTGCCTCTGAACAGAGCTATGTGGGAGCTTTTTTCCTTGTGTCTATGTATGCATTTTTTAGTAGTAAAGATAGTTTAAATGCAAAATTATTTCGAAATTGTAATTTTTTTCTTTCATATTACACTGTTCAATCTTAAACCATTTACTCTTCCACAGGTGTGTCTACATCGGCAATAAAAGTTGCCTCTACCAGACTACCTTCCCCAAAAGGTTTGGTTGGGAATCCAACTCAGATCTTAGCACAGTTTCCCAAACAGCATCAGCAGTCCCCCAAACAGCAGCTTCACCAAATACAACAGGCCCAACAGCAGCAGCAGCAACAACAGCAACAGCAACCACAGCAACAACAACAGCAGCAGCAACAGCAACAACTGGTGCAGTCTTCTGTAGCTCAACAGCAGCCACAGCAATCTCAGTTGCCGCCTGGCATCAAGCCCACCATTCAGATCAAACAGGAATCAGGTAGTTGGAGTTAATCTTGGGTCTTATTGCTGATTGGTGAGGTCTAACCACAACTCAAGAAAGTAGGGCACAATTCTGTCCCAAAATGTGCATGGGGAGCTATCATTAAGGCATAATTACTGGAGTGCAGGACTTGGCGTTAAACCTGGATATAAGTAGATAATGAAGGATGTCTTCATGTTTTCAGCTGACATTAATTGAAGAATTTGGTTCTGTCACTCTTCTTGTTTGGTTCAGGTATTACAGACCATGCTTTAGGAATAAATGTTTTATCTTTAGAGATTGAAAGGTATGTAAGTATCTTCAAAAGTAACGTGACTGTCAACCTGGAAGACACCAGTTTTCTGAAGATCCAAGAGCTGTTCAACTGTATCAACTGGAAAAAGAAGTTAATCCATGTTTTAATTCTTTTCTTGGGTCCAGAAATCAAAACCTACTTTTGAGGTACTTGTCAAAACAAATACAATTAGATCTAAGACTGGAAGTTGGACTGGATTTTTTTTGTAACATTGATTCATTCAGTTGACTTTGGGCAAGTCATGTAATCTTTCTATCTTGGCTTTACTCTACTGTAGAATAGAGTTCTTATCTCCGTAAGACGTAGTAAAGAAATACTGCTTGAAAAGTTATCTCATTTTAAAGGAAGAAGTGCTATGAAAGTGCAAAGTATTTTTATGTCCATATTTTGTATTAATCATGTCAGTAAAATAATTTTTTTATATTCATACTATTTAGATCAAAGAATTAAAATAGACCATAGAATCTAAAAATGAACAGCCCTACTCCTGTCCTTTGATAAACTTCCTTTTGGATTATAGGACCATTGCCTAAGTAGATACTTTTTCTAATGAAGACAGATGAGAGGCCTCCATCCTTCAGTCACTGAATAATATTTGATCAATAAGAGCTTCACCCCTTGCCTTCTACCATGGGTTTAGGCTCAATGTGCTTTTTAGTTAAAAGTTGCTTTGGAAATACCATCTTATACCTATCCTTTCTGGAAGATGTGAATCAGTTTTCACAGAGACTTTTCTTTTTATCCAGTTTTGTGTCTGGTTGATGCAATGGCTTCAGTTTCTCTTTCCTAAGCTCATTATTTAATTTTGGAGCTTATTTGCTCCATACTGCTTTTATAGTCAACATAGAAGAAAATAACTCCAGAGGATGTTTTACATCCTGAGTGTACAAAATTGATCACCTAGAAATACTTGTGTACAAATAGAAGTACCTACATTTACCTGGGATTAAATCAGGCTGGGTGTTGCATGGCATTTGACCAACACAATGCAATACATTTCACTCATCATGGAACAGAACATAAGTTACAAGTGTCCTTGATATACTTTTGAACAGATGACATGAATCTCCTGGTTTGCAAGAAGTTAATCTTGCAGAGATCCCATTCTACAAATTGAGAGAGAGAAAGCAGAATCCTTGCTGTACTAAGCTGTCCTCATCCTTTGTTCTTGCTGATTGTACTCAGAGCTTGTTTCAGCCCAGTTCCTTTGTGGCTTCAAGATAACCAATAAATCAAGAGGAGAGAGAGCAGTTTACTTAAAAGCAGCCTCCCCTAGCCAGTGTCACAGTTGCTTCCTTACACACACTAATGCTCTTTGTGGAGAAAGCTTTTTTTTTTAATTTATTCAGAGAGATGAAATTCAACTAGGCTAATTAAGACACATTAGAATTTACAGACTGAATAAATGAAGAACTATTTCACTTTTAGATGGTTCATTGTATATGAACTAATTCAATATTGGTTGTAACCTGTTGGTTCCTGGGAAATGTTCTATTTTCTGAGTCATGGACCAGAAAAGGTCAAAAATCACAACAACAAATCAATGATGGAATGGAATCCCATACCTCAGTGGGAGTAGCTAGGAACTGAAACAGGCACATGAAAGGCAAAGATGATGACTGTCTTGTTACTGTAAAACAAAAAAACCAAGCAAAAAAACCCAAACCAAAAAAAAAAATTCTTTTCAGGATCAAGAATACATGGGCTCAGAATAGAAGCCTTGTGAGGCTACTTGCCCACTAGGGCTTGGTCTGAGAAAGCATTTCAGAAAGTAACTTTTCGTGCCTGTGTTTTAACAGTGACCTTTCTCCTTTCCTAGGTGTTAAAATAATCACTCAACAGGTGCAGCCCAGTAAAATCCTTCCCAAACCAGTTACAGCGACCTTGCCCAGCAGTAGCAATTCACCTATTATGGTGGTTAGCAGTAATGGGACTATCATGACAACTAAACTGGTCACTACTCCCACTGGTAAGTTATGGCTCTGAGAAGGGAAGGGAGGGTAAACCCAGACATACAGGTGATCAAACATGGTTTATTAGGGTAAATAAAAGCACTTCTGTCTTGTGAACAGTGAGCACAACATCACATTCACAATCCTGTTGGTATTTATTCTAGATTTAGGATTTTTGCACTGGGTGATATTTTTTTTAATTCCTCTTATGATCTTTTTGAATTGGTACACAGAAATATGCTTGTTCCTTCCACACTGGGTTTATTTTAAAGGAAGTTTTCTTGCAACTTACACTGTACTTTGCACTTCTGTAGCACCTTGTATTAGATAATTTACATTAATTTGACTTTTTAGGTACCTAAAGCAGATAGGTCAGCATCATTCCTATTTTACATATTTGGACTTTAAAGGACAGGTGACTTGCTCATAGTCCTGCAGTGAATTTATAAAAAGGCCAGTAAATTGAATTTTAAACTCCCAGTGTTTTTCTGGGGATCTAATTGTATTTGTGTTTTCTTATTGATTAAGATCAGAAATAATGCAGGCTGTTCAGATTGTAAACCTGTATGAGGAAAAGTTGAAAGGCAGCTTTATCCTAGTTTTCAGGAAACTGTACTTTCTGAATTTTTAGCACGAGTTGGGAATATTAGCATAAACTAATGGTTAATATTCTTTTCTTAACTTTTGAAGTACTTCAGAAAAACATTCCTAAGCATGTTAAAAAAGAACCTAGCAGTTTCACTCTTCATTTAATTGGTAAAACCTGTATTGTGCTCTCTTGGATTGGCACACATGGCTTGCTTGTTACAACAAACTGTTTTACTCTGTGATCTTTAGCAATTAAGGTCTGTAGTGCACTATCTGCAGCAGTACAAGCAGAATGGAATTACAATGTTGATGTAGCTGTTGACTCATTAACGTTTTGAGCAAGTTTCTTTTGTGGGCTCAGTTCTATTTCCATTCTGAGAAGGAGTAGCTCTGAAAAAACAGCATTTATACCATGTCTTTTGTTCCTTTGTACTGCTAAATGCTAAATCCATAAAATTACATTATCCTTGTAAATTGTATTTTTCTATTAGAGTGATATTTAGACCAGTCATTGGTGGTGTTCTTTATAAACAATTTGTCACGTAGGAGAAGTGAGAGTATGGATGTCTTTCACGAGAGGAAGGGATCAGTTCTGGTAGTGTCATCAGATGCCTAACTCTTGGGCATCTAAGGGAGCAAGTGGCAAACATACAGGCAGAATCTAAACACCTATTGAAAGTTAAAATCTTGGGCACAAGGATGTGAATTAAATACAGCGGTCATGGAACGTTTGGTAAAATACTTCAGAAGATTCTTACATTAATTTAAAGTTGGTATATACTTGCTCTGTGGGTTTAAAAAGTACTAGGAGAATTGTAAAGAGTGGTAATAAGTTGCAATGTAGGGTCTCTTTGAATAAAATCTAATGCTTTTTTTCTACGTTAACTTATTTTTCCACAGATACTAGTAGAAGATCATGTTGTAACAGTGAACTTCCTTGTTGTCTCTTTAAAACAGGAACTCAAGCAACATATACGCGGCCAACGGTTAGCCCCTCTATAGGGGCTCGGATGGCTGGAACTCCAGGGGCCGCTACTTATGTGAAAACTACAAGTGGTAGCATCATTACTGTAGTACCAAAATCACTGGCTACGCTGGGAGGGAAGATTATCAGCAGTAATATTGTTTCTGGTAGGCATATGAGCACTTTGATATTAAGACTTATTTAAAAAGTAACTTTAGACTTGCTCTAATTGTTCAGGGCTTCTCTGTGGGTTACATGCTCAAATAATTGTTAGGACCTTTATTGGAGACGAAGTTAATTCAGAAGAAAAACAGCTGAGGATAAAGAAGGAAATAATGGGTAGAAGTTATGAAGGTGAAGTGTTCTTAAGGATTGCAATAGTTCTTATGTTTAAGAAGGAAACCTCTTAATGTGAGGGAAGCCTGAGAGGAAAAGAGAAATATAGGGGAGGAGAACTACTATAATATCCTCTGTTGGAGGGCAGAAAGGATCAGAAAACTGTATTGACCTTGTTTTAAAGCATTTCATAATCTGGATCCTGCCCTTTTCTATTCCACTGCAGATAAGAACCAGAATAAAAATGAGCTGTGTATGTTAAATTCAGCTGTGCAATCTCCACCTTATCATCATCTTCTATCAGTGTCAGCCTGTCTTTCCCTTACCCCAGGTTCTAACTGGAGTTTTTCTTCCCAGCCTCTTGCAGACCCTGCTGCTTATCTTTGTTAGTCTGCTGACCAGCCTTGATGCACTCTGCCAGTGTAACCTCTAAACATAGGATCTCTTTAGGGCCAGGACCAAGCATGCTTACACCAGTCACGGTTTCTTAGTATCTGTTTTGGACTTTAATAGTGCTAATGCAGACAGAGTCTCCTGCATTTCCTAGCTAGGTGCACATGTAGAGGAAGGTCTGCTGAGTCTGTTCATCCTGACTAGTAATACCTTTAAATGATTCAGAGGTCCCCTTGTTGGTGCTTAGTGAAGACCTGACATGACACCAGCCAGCTCCTGTCACTGGAAGGTTCTGCACAAGCTACCCAGTAAACCCTCTCTGGGGTGTAGTCTGGTAGAGGTACCTCAGTTTTTCAGATCCTGATTTCTGCAAATGATATTTAGGGCTGATACAGTAGCTTCTTTGGGAACAAGTAACTTTTTTAGCCTGTTGTGGGTATGATGAGTTGTTAAGAAGATTTCTACATCTGCTAGTGAGTTTATACACAAATGCTAGTATTATTGTCCTGAGCACCAGCTAATGCAGAGAAACCCTTAGCTGATCCTGACAAGGATAGTAATGATTATCCTGAAACAACACAGATTTGGAAAGGATGCCTGCTTTTTGTTGTTGTTGTTTTATAGTGGGGTTTTTTGTGTTTTGATTTTTTTTTTCTTTTTTTTATTGCTAACTTAGCAGTCTTTAGATGCCTCTGAAGTTGCTAGAATTAAGTAAATTATGATCTTGTCTCAGCATGTCTTCCCTTTCCCAGAATTAGTAGAATTATTAATCTGAAATATGTAGTGAATTATCTACAGGCATGACTGATGGGTAGAAGGGAGTGAGGGGAATCCTTAGGTTTGCAGCTCTGCTGTGACTGGTACTTTCTTCAAGGATAAAGTGGAAGATGTTGATAAAAACCTGTGTGAGTAGATACTGAAATGGCAGTGTGATAACACTGATGAGTTACATATCGATGTATGTACTCTTGTAGACTGTGGAGAGCTGACCAGAATTACCTGTCACTGCAGGTAAATAGAAACCTGATACAGGGAATGGAACTAATTAAATACTGGGAGAGGAACAGAGATACCCAACACAGCTCTTCATAAAAAGAAAAAAACCCCACATACTTCTAAACTTAACTTTTAAGAACTGATTATAAAACAATAGCATATTTTTCTTTTTCCCTTCTTTCAATCCACTACTTGTCACTTGTATTACAACAGTTCAGTGCCAGAAAGAGCTGGTATTTCTCTTGACTGCAGATACATTCTTGGTACATAGATTCTTCTGCAGAGGTTATCTGTAGAAGAATATTTGTCTGTGCAAATAGGGCCTTGAGTTGAGTATTAGCGACATCCTTATCCCTCCCTAATTCTAGCCTTTGAAAAGTTAGACATGTTAGCCTGAGAAAAGCTGTATTAGTCTGCTTTGTAATTTGTGAGAAGGACCTGACTGTTCTAGTATAGAACTGTCCTGGGCATGCCTGTTTTTACTGTAGGTGAGAGATTTGTAGGGTGGGCATCTAATCTTTGTATGTTGAGTTGGGTGACATAAACTCCCATTCCAGATGCTGCCCTTTTTATTGTTGTGCTGTCAGATTTAAATACAATGATTCCTATATAGCTCACCAGCTTCTGCAGTGGAAGGAAGTGTACATGTGATAAACTGCACATTATTTCTTTTCCCACAAAAATTTAGGAACTACAACCAAAATCACTACAATTCCAATGACATCCAAACCCAATGTGATTGTTGTGCAAAAGACTACTGGAAAAGGAACTACAATTCAAGGGCTTCCAGGCAAAAATGTTGTCACAACGCTGTTGAATGCTGGGGTAAGAGTTTCAAGTCTCAAGTCAATAGCCAGGTGATAGGCTGTGTGGTGGCTGCTGCATTCATTCTGCTAAAGTCCCTATTAAAAGCAAACTGTGCATGAGCTCCTTAACAGATACATCATGCCTTAATGTCAGGGGTGTTTGAAAAGTCAAGTGTACTTTGCAGGGTATGAAAGATACTTAAAATAAGCTGGGAATGTTCTCAAAATTAAAGGAAAATAAAAACTTTTGACCTTGCTTCTTTTCTGTGATTAATAATTTTGTAATCCTGAAGGGATTAACTGGAAGAAAATTACTAGAATTTTGCCCAGTTTGTGCTCTAGTGAGAACCATGGTTCTGTGTTATAAATTTGCATCTCCAGCCCTTTGTCTTTCAGATGTAAAGGGCAGAAATAAACTGACCCTTCACAGTAAAGGTACCGCTTTTCAGTCTATGTGGTGTGTAACACTGTAAGATCCTGTACCTGAGTATTCTATACTGTTGAATTATTTTTTGGATACCCTGATGTGTACTGAGAACAAAATCAAGTTTCCAGCTTCAGCCGGGTTTACCTATAAGTGCTAGTAAATAAAAACTGTGAGATTTAATGCATTAATCATGCAATCTTAAAAAGTCTACTTGAGTAGTAGAGTGGAGTAGGGAGGGGTTTTTGTAAACCTTTTAGGAATAGTTTGGGTTTTTTTTATTTTGAACTTTCCTTGTTTACAAAACTTAAAGCTGTGTTTTCACACAAGTGAAAGTCTCGTGATGTTGCACAGTAGGAATGACCAGAATGTGATGATATTTCTGGAAAGAGTATGGTTCTTGGGATTTCCAGCCACTTGACAGCAATTGGTAGGAATACTGGAAGAACTGGCAACTAATGTTATCCCTGGTTTGTTACTGTGCAGAGCTAAAAAGAAGCACACTCTTCTTAAGCTATGAGGAGTCTAGTCATATGTCAGCACTATTCCATAGTCAAATATTTCCTGTGAAACAGCTGTGAATCTGCATTTTTTAAGTGAACTTTGAGTTTTAAAAAAAAGTCCCTGTGTAATTAACGTCTTGGTCATGAGGATAATACAAAGATCTATATTTAAATAATTTCTTTTTAGAGTCTCAATTCAAGTTTTGTAGATGTCTTACGAAATTTAGTGTTAATAGAAATAAGAGCTTTTAAAAAACATTTGCGAAGGATTTGAGGAAAGTTCCAACTGTCGTGAACTCTTTGAAGCAGCTTCAAAAAACTTGTCAGTATCTTTTAGTTACTCGTTTTTTTTCACCTCTTCAGAGCTGCTCAAAAGGTAAAGTAATGGAAAAGGGGATTTTGGTAGCTTTTCCATTCAAAGCCATAGAGTTTTATCTTCTCGGTCTTTGAAGACTTTTTGTATCAAATAAGTCTAGTTGCAGCAGCAGCAGATTGATGTCATGGTACACATGCTCACCTATAACTGTGTATTTTTTTAGAGAAATGGGTCTCCCTGAAGAATTTCACTAAGTTAACCTGTAAACTTTGACTTCTCTACAGGGGGAGAAAACTATTCAGGCAGTGCCAGCAGGAGCAAAACCTGCTATCATCACTGCCACAAGACCCATCACAAAAATGATTGTTACACAGCCAAAAGGAATAGGGTCCACGGTCCAGCCAGCCACCAAAATCATCCCAACTAAAATTGTTTATGGTCAGCAAGGGAAAACACAGGTACAGTGAGGACCCATTTCTGTCTTGAAATATACCCCTGAATTTTAATGGGAAGTAAATAATTTTTCACTGTGTTGCTGCATTTGTTGCAGGATTGATATATGTCTATGGGGAATGAGAGTTAGGGGTGTAATGAGGTGGCCTTGATTCAGATTTCTTGAGCACAGTCTTCACATTTGTCAGCTTTTTCTGTAGGCCTACCGCAAGCCAAAAGGATTTACTAAGCCTTTTACATAGCTGAAACTGTCTGGTCATAGCTCTAGATGCCTGTTTAAGTCTTAGAGCTAATGGCTAGATCATAAGAAATAAAGACATAGAGTCTGGACATGGGTCATCCATCAAATCTGAGGTTTTATCAAAGTTATTTGCTGGTTAATGTATGTTCAGGCTGTCCCTGCAACCTTGTGTAGTTGGTGGGGCTGTATACAGAGAATCTGACTTACTTCTGGACGCCTTCAGTTTCAGCTTTTTCTCTGGTTGTGCTTAGTATTTAAAAGAACGAAACTGTTATCAGATGTAATATTTTGCGTGTCCTGATTGTTCAAGACTGTATTTATTGTGGGCTCCAGAAGAGAGGTGCTTGTCCTTACTAGTGCAGTGCATGTTCCAGCTCACTTGTGTAGCTTTCTCTTGTTGTACTAGAGTTGTATCCAGCCCTGAAAAGTGACTATTTAGTGGTTTATGAAGTACTCCAAATTACTGAGCAAGAATTATGTTCTTATGCATTACCATTTACTTGGGCTTTGTGGTTTAATAGTCAGAGCTGCTGAATTTATAGGTAGACTTTTTCAGTAAACTATGAATATTATGTAGGTTTTGTACATTGATCTATTTGAGCAGCACCTTGTACTCTGATTGCTTAGATCTCTTACTGTATACAAAATTTGTCTTTCTGATTAGGTTCTCATAAAACCAAAGCCAGTGACATTTCAAGCAACAGTCGTGAGTGAACAAACTAGGCAGCTGGTGACTGAAACGTTACAGCAGGCATCAAGGGTAGCAGAGACAGGAAACTCATCTCTCCCAGAAGTGAAAGAAGAACCACAAACCTACACTGACAGCAGCTCGTCATCTACAGAGTCCTCCCAGAGCTCCCAAGGTGTGTATTAGCATCGCATAAAATATGAATGGACTGTCTCCCAAGCGTGCTGCACAATTTCATATGACTCACTGTGTTTCCTTTTAGAACAAGTTTTCACCTAATCTGTTAGCAGTGACTGTCATTATTCACTTCCCTTATGGCTTTATTTATCTTTTATGAGTTATTTACTGTATACCTCCATTTCCTATGTGAAAAGTAGACATAATGGTTTCTTGCTGGGCTCTGACTTGCTGTGGCCTGCTTGTGGCCTGCAGCCTGTTCCTTCTTTTTGGGGAGTCTGCCAGAAATAAGTGTAGCAGGGTTGGTTGTTTTGGTTTGGTTTTTTTTAGTTTTATTTTGGCGACCCATTCTCTGCCACCCTGTTTCCTGAGTGTATTGAAGCATCTCTCCATTCATTGCATGACTAAAGCTGTCACGTGAACAACAAGTTTTGGTCCTTTTATAGGCACATATATGTGCATCAGGACATGTGTCAGACATTTAGTCTTGATGGGGATGCTGCCATGGCTTCAAGCCATGATACGGATGCAGCTCTTTGTGTGGTAGAGGAGGATAAATAATAGGGCATAAATAACACCCAGCCTTTGGTCAGGAGTGACCATAGGGTGTATCACTGCATCAAATAAAAGCAAATATCTCTATGAAACATGTATACCTATGTGCCTTTCAGTTGCCTTTTCTATATAATTCTGTAACTGTTGGTCTGTGCTGCCATTTTAAGTAAATTTTACAACATTTTGAAGATTCAGTGAACTTAGCAAAATTTAGGAGCTGTTAATTCAGAATGCTGAATACAAGTTGGTCACCTGAACTGCTAAAACCTTCTGAAAAAGAGTTCAATCCATGGCAAATTCAACATACAAAGAAACCTGATGAACTTCGATTGTTCAAACCAAAGCTTTTACAAACAACTAAGATACAGGATCTTTTTCTTTTGGCTGGAAATTGTTCATAACATCAGCAGTGTTTTACTTCAAGAGTCAATTGTAATAAAAACTAAAGTGTTGCGGAATGAGAGTATGTGTCCTTGGCAGTGTTCAAAAGGCTTATGTACAATGAGTAACCTGGTCTAGTTTTGAACTATAGCCCTGCTTTAAAGAAAGAAGTTGGACAAAAGACATCCAACCTGAGATGGTTCTACGATGACTCGATGTGCCTTTGTTCTTTTGCAAACAGATTCTCAGCCTGTAGTCCATGTGATTGCTTCAAGAAGTCAAGATTGGTCAGAACATGAAATTGCTGTGGACACAAGCCCTACAATAATTTACCAGGATGTATCCGGTGAATCTCAGTCAGCTACTTCCACAATAAAAGCTTTGCTGGAACTTCAGCAGACAACAGGTGTGAAAATACATGTGGTTGTTTAGGAGAACTTCAAAGCTTAGTAGTTGCTTAAGCAGCAGTTTTTAATAAGTTTTATAATTGAAAAGCACCTGTCTTGAATCAGCTTGATTCCTTTCTTCTTATCCTGTAACAGTTTGTTTGAATCTGTTATATAATGTTCACTATCTATTTAATTAAACTTTTGCATTTATAATAGAGGTTTATTTTATTATGGAGGTTTATATATTGGAGACTTATTTTATGTTTTTCTTTTCTTCTAAAGCAGTGAAAGAAAAGTTAGAATCGAAGCCAAGGCAGCCTACCATTGACCTGAGCCAAATGGCTGTCCCAATTCAGATGACCCAAGAAAAGAGGCATTCTCCAGAAAGTCCATCGATTGCTGTAGTAGAGTCAGAATTAGTTGCTGAATATATCACAACTGGTAAGTGACTAAGATAGTGTGGTGATGGGTTTGCAGTTGAAGTCTGGGGACTTAATTTTCAAATTTTCTTACAACAAGTTTCATTCTTGTGTTTTCATTATAATTTGGTGTAGAGGAAATGAGTCTTTTCTTCTGCTCTTGAGACCCCGTGCAGGGAACAGAGTTTGCATCTGCTTTTCTGGGGCACAGTGGAGAAGGTTTTTAACTGAAACAAAAGGTTGTTGCTTCAAGACATCCTAGCAGAACAGGTTTTCTGTTCCCTGATCTGATGGAGAGGACAGACTGTCCCACTTGTCTTCAAGGAAAATATCTAGTAAGGAAGAAGTAGAAAATGAAGTTACAGGAACTGTATGCTATGTTTTTGTACATACTGAGAGGAGTCATACTTTGAGTTAGTTTAACCCATATTTGCCAAATGTTACTTGCTTACCAGATCTAAGTAGGTTTTTAAGCCAGATGTGCATTTAGCATGCTGATGTAGTCCCCAGTTTCTTTATTTGCTAGAAGGCTTTGAACTGATAAATTTGCACTTTTAAAACAAATTATTCAAATTGAAATTATGGTTGGGATTCAGCTCTTAACTTTTTAAACTCTTGACCCTTTCTATCTGATTGTCCGTTTTTTGTAAGTCCTTGATGCCCTTGTGTCTCTGATGCTCCCTGCTACGCCAGAACACCATGTGTGAGCCACTTCCCATACATTCATGAGAGGATCAAATTAATTGTTTTCTATTTTAATTTCTTAAGTCCATGTTATTGGTCTCCCTACTTTGGAAAATGAAAGCAAAAGTGTGTTGAAAATCCACATTGGAAAAGAGGAATAAAACTTGATTATATTAAGTTGTATGAGTATGTATCTGTAACTCCAGTGTTTTTAGTGTTAAATGTCTAATCTGATATTTTCATTTTTCATTTGCCTGCTCTGTACCTCCTCCCCTGACTTCCATCCTTTGTATGGTCAAAATTTAAGTTGTCTGAAAATGGAGCTTGGGGGGGATGTTATTGTTATTCTTTTAAATAACACTTACTGTATCTGGCTTCAATTTTGAATGTTTGAGTCATGCTCCCTTGGATCTCTTTAAAAACAAACTCAAAAGTACAGTAAATAGTGTTTAAAGTAATCTCCAATTAACAGTCAGTTATCTTCACTGACAGAGATACTGTGCATTGAGCTTCTATTCAAGGTTCCAGTTTTTGCTGGGTCTTGCAGTTGATGTAAAATAGGGCCCTTTGCAGGGAGGATGGGAAATTACAGTAGGTTAAGTCCTTTTCTGCAGCTTAGAAGCCATACAAAGTACAAAAGTTAAAAATTTCCTTGAAGCTGTGTTTACTCTTTGAAATACTGGAATTTTTGTAAACCTGGAGTTGATGTACAGTAATCTACCAGAGAAATGCAGGCTGCTGTGGGTTGAGTAGCTGCAGTTTCTGCTACAGCACAAAACTGGTTATTTTGGTGTTTGATTTTTGTCCCTTCCCCCAGTTTCTTTGAACACTGGCAGGGAATGCAGGTAATTGAGTGTTTCTTTGTTTTAATTTGTGTTTCTCGGGATTCATCAGTAATCCATGTAGCTATATTTTCTGCTAAAAATTCCGTGGTAAGATTAAGTAAACAGTCTATAATCTGTTGTGAAATCTGCATGCGCCTAGACCAAAGGATTAGGCACACTTTAATCTATTTGGGAGCTGGGATTCAGCATGTGCTTCCTCATGAGATGAAGGGACCGGTTCACACATCTTAGTGTCACCATTTTTTGTCTGTCTGCAGACTCAGGAAGACAACACTGTATTGGTTCACATTCGGAAGAATATCTGCACAACCATATAGGTTAGAAAATTTATTTTTAAATGAAGTTTTCAATTGTGCAGGAACTGTTGGGGGATATCCACGACGGATCTGGCACAGCATGCAGGCCAGTATTGATATAATCCGACTCCTGTCTTGGAGTGGGAAAGTAAAATTACCATATTAATTCAAAGTATGACCTTTCTTTTAACTTTCAGGAAGGTCACTGGAAATTTTTTAACTTTGTTATGTTATAACTGAATTTAAGCTTCACTTGTTCTCCTTCAGTTGTTAATTATTTCATAACTAAAAAGTTAAGTAAAGCAAATATTTATGTATTAGTATGGACAGGTATGAAGTAATTTGAATGCATGTCTTATCAGTGACTGCAATATAGAATGGTTTGTGTGGTGGTTTTTTTTTCTCAGCAAAAGATAATTTCTCTGTCAGTCGACTATTTAATTGCAGAACCATTACCATAGCTCTCTAACTCATGCTGGATCTGTTCTAAAAAGTGACATAGACCCAAGACAACGTCTCTATTTTTTGGCGGGTGGGGGGTCTATGATTTCTGATCAACCTCACTTGCTTTCGTAATAACTAAACGTTTTCAGATTGCTAATCTGTCAAATTTAGCCTATGCTCTGGAGAGTATTTCTTGCCATTTATCAGTGGTAGATGTTCAGTGAGCAAGACTTGCTGTTCTTAATTGCAGTCAATTGTGCAGTTGGTTTTAACAGTGTAAAAACTACAGAATACCTTGTGCTGGTGCTCTATAAAGAACTTGGCTGAAAATAGAGTATGAATTCTACTTGCAAAGTTGGTGTGTTGGGAGAGGAAGGCCAGAGGAGGTTTGGATCAAGTGTGATTACTTAGAGACAAAAGCAAAACCCCTGAGGCTTCTCAGAACAGATCTATACTTTAAGGTTGAAGCTAGCATACAGTAAAAGATGTTTTTCATACTCGGATCTTTACTTCAGTCATGTATGCTTTCAGTTGAAGCTTAAATGCAAAGCAAATAGTTGAAGTTACTGCAGTTAGTTCTGGAGAAGTGCCACTGACCTCTTTACTTGCAGTCAGTCATCGGTCCCAGCCCCACCAGCAGTCATCTCAGCCCCAGAGGACTCTGCTACAGCATGTGGCTCAGTCGCAGACAGCAACGCAGACTTCTGTTGTGGTGAAATCTATCCCCGCATCCTCCACAGGCGCAATTACCCATATCATGCAGCAGGTTGTACCCTTTCTTTTCCCAACAGTCTATAAACAGCAGTAGGTTATAGGAATTATATAGGACCAGGGCTTGTTTTGAATGAATGTGTTGTGTTGCTGCTACTGTTACACTGCCAGTGTTACACTGCCAAGTGTAAGGGCAAATTAATAACTTAATTTTAATATTGCGTGTTTTAATGGTGAGGGTGGCGGGATAAAAGGGAAGCAGTTAATAAGATTACTTGAGACTTAAGTAAGAGGTATTAACAGCCACTGTGGAGAAGATAATGCTTCCTAGAGGAGTTCTTGCTGTCTGTATGCAATCTCTTCAACAGCAACAAGCTGCTTTTTTCTGTAAGTTGTATCGCAAGGACCTAGGCTCTTTGGGTTATGTTCATGTTAGCGTAAGGGGAAGAGGGATGAAGCAGAATCTGGTCAGTACGTGGAGCACACAGTGTCTTTTTCATTTGAGGGCTTTCATTTGTGAATAGGCAAACTTCTCTGAATCAAAAAGTAAGATCATGTTTAGAGCAGTACTGTGAGGATCCCAGTGCAGCTTGTGGTGAAATCTTACCGAAGCCACTCCGATGCCTTTGTTCAAGACCTGCTCAACTCTGCAGTGCTTAAACTTCTAGGAACTTCAGCTATGGAACAGGACAGTACTGTGTTAGGGCTATAAACACACTTTGGAGAGTGTATTTTCACAGGTGTTGGAGTAGGCTGCTTCATCTTGCTAAGGCCATTTATCAATACGCTTATACCATGGTATACAAAGCATAGTGGTGTAGATCTCTTGTTCCCTCAGATCCCTCAAAAAATCAAACAATGTTTGTGCTATGCCCAAGAAAAATTGGAATAAAATTTTGAGGAAGGAAGAAGAGAGGATCTCTGCTGAAATAGGGTAGACTGTAGGTATATGGGGAGCTGCAGAAGAAATCATGGTGAAGATGACTAAGGCTCTCAAGAGACAGAATAAGAATTTATTGTGCAGGGAGACTCTGGCTTTAATGAGGAGCCAGTGGTTCAACCACCTGCTAATCCTTGCTGCTTCATATGCAACTGCCATGCAACCTCAGGGGCTTTGAACCTTAGTCTGACATGTGCGAGGGCTACATAATCTCCACTGAGGATTAGTTATGCAATTAATTTTGTCACATAGAGACATACCACATTTTAACATGATAAAAATAGCTATTGATTGCTTACGTGTTGTGGAATCTCCATGTAAGGGTATCTTTTTATACATGAATTGGGAGTCTGTAATGGTAAAATAAGTGAAAGTAGTCCAGTTGAAACATGAAAAATTATTTTAGATTGTGTATGCTTATAATTTATATTTCTCTTTACTAACTTGCTCTAACTTCTTCTTATTAAGGCCTTAAGCAGTCACACTGCATTTACCAAACACAGCGAACAACTTGGAACTGAGGAAGGAGAAGTGGAAGAGGTGGACACCTTAGATCCTCAGACTGGCCTGTTTTACAGATCTGCCCTGACACAATCGCAGGCACAAAAACAGCAAAAACTGAGTCAGCCACAGCTGGAACAGACTCAACTGCAAGTGAAAACTCTGCAGTGTTTCCAGACTAAGCAGAAGCAGACAATCCACCTGCAGGCCGATCAAATCCAGCACAAACTCCCACAAATGCCCCAGCTTTCTATAAGGCATCAAAAGCTAACCCCCCTGCAGCAAGAGCAAGCACAGACCAAACCAGATGCACAGCACCCCCCACACCACATGATGGCCAAAGAAAGGCAACTCCCTACCTTAGTGGCACAGCCACAGCAAACTGTAGTACAGGTGCTTGCAGTAAAAACCACGCAGCAGCTGCCCAAACTGCAACAGGCACCAACGGCACAAAAAATCTACGTGCAACCCCAACCCCCCCAGAGTCAAATGCAGCTACCTGCCTCTTCAGAGAAACAGCCAGCAAGCCAGGTAACGGAATATTGATAGCATGCAAAATAACACGTCGCTGTTCAAGGAAAAAAAAAAAAATCAAAACGCCAACCCTGTTGCTGTAGCAGTGTTTTGTCCTGGCAAGAGAGAACTCCTCATTCCGCTGGTATTAATTACTCCATCAGAAGGTTGACACTAGGAAAGAGAAGCACATGTTATAGGGGAGAAATCCATAGAGCTCACAAACGTGTTTTGTTGGACAGTTTTTATGAATTTCTGCCACCAATGGTGCATGGAATTTGTCCCTAATTATCTTCTTTGAATTTTTAGATACAACACATTATTAATTTCCATTCCCGTAGCACTTTTTATTTCTGTGGAAATAAAGATGAATACACTGCAGTCTCCTAAGGCTCTCCATTGTACGTCTTCCTTTGTAGTTTACATCTTCCTGAAATTGTATGGCTTTAATGTACAGGAGTAATTTGATTTTCCTTGGGAGGGGAAAATGTAAAGACTGAGGAACGCGAGGGGGGAAAAAAAAAAAGTATTTTAACTAACTCGAGAAAAATACAATTTTTTTGGGGGGGCCTTTTCAGAAGTATATGTGAAAACAAGAGGGTTAACAAACATCATGTGGGGATGTAAATCCCAAAGGAAAACGAGGCTGCTGTGGTATTATACTGCTACAATCCTTGTCTAGCAGCCTAAAAAGCTGCTTTTCCCCAGGCTTTAATTAACTGTTACCGTATCATTGCTAATTCCTTTGTTAAAACACTTGAGTTTCAACTGTCTTCCTAATAGCAAGTATGTTGTTTGTGCCATACTGTCCTTGGAAATAATGATTAGATTTTTTCAAGTTAAAAAAAAAAAAGTCTAGCTGTAACATGCACAACAAAAATTTGATTTTCAGGTGCAGCATCCAATTATAACGCAAGGATCCACTGTTACAAAGATAACTTTTGAGGGGCATCAGCCTCCTTCCGTTTCAAAGGTAGCAGGTGGCAGTTCTGTGCCCAAACTGGCGTTGCCAGTTACCAGCCTATTTCCCATGCAGGCATCCGCGAAGACAGCAGTAGCAGATATTTTGAGAGTGTCTATGGTGGAAGCTCAGATTGATACAAATATAGAACATACGATAGCGGATCCCCCAAACAAGGCCATGTCCACTAGTAAACTTGCTAGTGAAGCAGAGTCGTCGTCACCTTGTACCCACGTGCCGAGGGTGACTGCAGTAGGGATGACGGCAACTTCCATCCCCCAGCAACAGACATGTACAGAATCCAGTTCAAGTCCTCCTGCTGTTGGTCCTACTTTAACAGAGAGGAAACTCGATGCACAAGGAATGCCTACAACAAACCAGTTTATACACATTCAGAATATATCACAAAAGAAAGCTGAAGAAAGTTCATCAGAAATTCTTACCCAGGTAAGAGAAGACCAGAGCAAATAAGGCAAAGGTTGAGCAGAGCAAACTCATGTCTAATGTGATGATAGCAACTGAACAATGTTCACGTATTTTTGTTTTCCTTCCCCAGTTTTTGTTCTTTTTCTACTCTTGTGCTTGTACAGATTACTACTCCAAAGTGTGTGATTCTTCTTAAATTGAGCTTGAGTTTCTCTAGCGCTGTATCATTCTCTGTGTCCTCGGTGTCTTCCTTTCTTTTTCTGTGAAGAAAACAAACCAAGCCTATCTAATTTTACAAAGTACTTTTATTTGAAATGCTTAAAAGTGTGACCTTCGACACTTACTATGGAATTGTAATCTAGAATTTTTTTATAGTATCTGTTAATGTTACCTCTGAGTATAAAATTAATGTGAAAAATGTAGTGGGATTCTCCTTACTGGGAACGTTCGGTAAATAAGGTCTGGATTCAGAAGAAAGCTTGTTAACTTCACTTATAACTAGTCTTGCCACTTCTGAGATAAAATGACTATTGATCTTTAACCTAAATGCTTTGAGTCATTGCCTGACTGTTGATTGATGCTTTCCTTTATTCTGCTGTCTTAAATACGATGTTTTATGATGTAATACATGGTCAGAATGTCAACTGAGGAAGTATTTAAGTCTTCTGAGGACTCATAGTGGTATGATATGAATCTTTGTAGACAAGCTGGCATGTGTTCACACACACGGTAGCGTGGATGGAAATGGTTTTATTGTGTATCATATTTGTGTTACAGTGAAAACACTTGTGATGTGGGAAATAGTTTGCGTATGGAGCGTTCAAATTTTTCATGCTACTTTGTAAAATCTCTATTGCAGCTAACTTCACCTTTTCAGAAATCATCATTTTTGTACTCATTTTTGGTCCTTATTTCCCTAAATAGACAAAGGTTTATTTCTGTTTTTCTTCAATTCTGTGTATTTTGGGAATCTGTATTGTTTGTCACTGTGGCGTGCTACAAGCTGTTTCGAAAGTAGAATACTGCCCAGAATTTCAGTTGTATAAAGTTGTAGATTTAGTTTCTAGGACCTATGAAAGTATAAGCAGAAATAAATAGCTTAGATCCATTGTGTTTCCTCAGCCTCTGTGCTGCTGCAGCTCTGAGCAGGGCTGGAGCTTGTGTTGTGTACAAAAAACGTAGTCCTTATATCTGAGTGACTTGTCTGAAAAAGATAAGACTGAAGAAAGTATTATCTCTGCTTTGCGTTTGAGGAATGATGGACGGTGGGCATTGGTGGTTTAGCTGTTGATTATGCTGTCGCGGACCTCTAGTGAAGATCCAAGGCCAAGATCAATGCTTTAAGAGCAAGATTATTCAAATTTTATCTTGCACAACCTAATCTGGTGAATGGGTGCTTTGAAGCTTTAGCGCATGTAAAGTATTGTGCAATGGGCCTTAGCCAGGGAGAATTGCTCTTGGAAACCGAATATCCCTTTTGCATGAGTACCTGCGCTTGCGCAGATGCCTTTGCTTGTGAAAACTCTGTATGTTAAAACTTAATTTTTTTCCTTTTTTCAGACTATCCCTCACTATTCCATCCCTTGTCACTCCAGCTCCAATGTGGTAGTGGAACCCAGCGGGCTCCTGGAGCTCAACAACTTCACCAGTCAGCGCCTCGACGATGAGGAGACGGCAATGGAGCAAGATGTGGACAGTAGCACTGAGGACGGCACTGAGCCCAGCCCCTCTCAAAGTTCTGCTGAACAATCCTAAGGAATTGGGACACTGGAGTGCACTTTAAAATATCTTGGGATCTTGAGTATCCAAGATGCCCTTGTATTGTGATGTCTTAGAGCACTTTGCATATTAGAGTTGTTCATTGGACCCTTGAAGCATCAGTGTGTTTTAACAAGACGGTATTGCAAAAGCTGCATCTTAAAAATTGTTTCCAAAAAAAAAAAGATGTAGTTACCAAGATTTAGTAAACCTGTGACAGTGGAATGTACTCCTGTTAAAAAGCAAATCTGCAGCAAATTCTACAGCTCGTGCTATTGAAGCCCTTGCCCAGATACTGAAATGGCTTTCAGTGAAAAGGGATCATTATTTTGCTGTGTCTTTTTGTTAGCTGTTGAGCAAAACACCATCAAAAAAAAAAAAAAGTTTAATAAATATTTGTATTTTTAAATAGCATGTGAGAGAAAAAGTGTCTCTGACAGTGCTGGAAAAGCCCCAGGAATTTTGGAATTGGTTAGCTTTCTTGCACTTGTGCTCACTTCAGAGTTAAGATTTTTTCATAAGCCTAAAAATATAGTTTATTTTTTTAAAATTCTTGTTGGTGAATGTTTGGGAAGAAGCAAAATCACTAACTGGTAGCACAGTGGATTTGCTAGTGGATTTTTGTTTTCATGCTTTACAAGAAGTAGGGTAACAGTGTATGAGGCATTTCTTTGTGTCATAAGCACAGGAAATGCCCATCTACTGTAGTTAATCTTTGATTATTTATTGAAATATAAAATTTAAAGTGAAGCCAAGTTGTTTAAAAAGTTCCTGTGAAACAGGCAGGTGTGTTAATTCTAATACAAATGGGGTGGGGGGCATGCATTTTGCTATACATCAGTTTTTCAAAATTGGGGATAAGTGGTTCAGCATCTTTCAAAGTTGAACCTCTGGATTTAAAAGTGAGCTAAGGCTTTTAAAAATCTGTATTTTACTCTTACATGCTGTTTTTAATGGGAGTTTAAAAGCTTAAATCGATATACAGTGGTAGGTTTGGGAAATTAGCCTTATGACTTGGCTTGTTGAAGCAATACGTTGGGTTTTTGTGATAGTTACAAGCCACAGAGAGAGGTTTGGGTTCAGATGGGATAAGAGAACCAGTTTTAATACATTCTGCTAATGAAGACAATACTTTTTTTTTTTCAAATGTATATAAAAACACGTTTTTAACTGTTTTGTATAGATTTCATTATAAATAACTAAGCATTTTAAGACTTTGACATATCATTTAATTGTAAATACATCTATCAGCCTAACTGCCCACTTTTTGGTGCTGAAGTACTACTGTAAGTAGATTTCATCCAAAGTCTAATACAGCTTTTTGCGTCAGTCTTTTTTTTTAAGCTGTGATTTTACTGTTCATTGTAGTTAAGATTAAAGTCCAACTAGAGTAACTCAAAACTAAAAATATAAAACCTAAAAAACATTTCTCTTACTTGTCCTGAGTATCCACCTATGTAAGAAGATGCAGTAACCCGTAGATGGTGCTGTTGTTTTTTTCATCTAACTTCACTTACTTTATAAAGTAAGTCCCTATGACTTTCGTACACTCTTTTTCCTTCTGTTTTCTTTTCCATCAGCATTAGTTCCAAAATAATGTAGTTTATTATGGTGGAGAAGAGTCCTGATAAATTCGTTGTGCAAACACCAGAATAATGGGTTAGGAAACTAATTGTTTTTGTGCTACCTTTATGTTGGAATAGGTACTGCTTTGATTTCTGCTGTACTTAGTGCTCAAGGTGGAAGAAAATAATACATATGAAATGAAATCTACCACATTTCTTTCTCTAGTGAAAAAAATAACCCTACGAGTATGCCATTCTAGGTAGTTCAGGTTTTGATAGTTTGGGAGCTTTTACTCTTGTTTTAGTGAAGTAACGGTGATCAATAAGGGTGACCAAGTTATGATCTAAGTCCTGAATGTTCCGCATTGCTGCAGAAGGACAAAAAGCAATTTAGTACAGATTTTGCTGCCAGTGGGACTGGGCAGTCTGTTGTGCTTTGCAGATGCCAGTGTAAGGCATAGTCTGTAGTTTTCCATACACAGTTATGAAAAGCCCAAAGCAGATGACACACGATTCTTCTGGTTTATATCAAATTTTCACTGTCACCTGGGCTCTTGCAGTGTTTTGAGTGTCCCTGGCATATCTAGGGCTGAAAGGCCATGAGAATATAAAGTAGAGCAAGATTTTTCTTAAGTGCTTTTGCCCAAAAACTTTGCCTTGGCCTTAAAACTACAGTTTCAGGTTTAGGTGAATGTATATGCTCTCTGCAGCCAAAAAGGGATACTAAAAAATGACCTAAGTTGAATTCAACACTCCTAATGCATTAACTATATTGTTGAGGTCTCGTCCAATTTATTCCGATGGTTTATGTGAGACTTTTGTTTGCATCTTCAGTGATGACTTTACAGCAAAGGTATGAAGAACTACAGTGAACTATTTGACAGTTCCTTGAAGACGGCAAATCTTTTATAAGCACGAAAGCTTTTAGTGTTGCTATGAGAGGTAATTGTTTTCAGATTGGCAAATTGAAGCACATGGTGGGGGTATCAAGGGATCCTGTAAGAAATTTAGAAAAAGAACTTTAGTAATCAATGGATTCATTATTGAAACTCCTGTCTTGATGCTTTCCTGAATTGAGCTGAATTTTCTCAGATTCTCTTATTTGTCTGTTACAGCGCTTTACCGTATAAATAGCTTTAATAATAAGGAATATAAGGAAATAATAAGGAAAATTTAGGGTCAAGATGTTAATTTTTTTCCTAGTTACTTCATTTTTGAGAACAACTGTAAGAAGACATGCTCAGAGCATTTGACCTTCTCCCCCTTTTCATGAACTCCAGGCAGCACTGCCTGTTCCTTGTCCTGCCCTGCAGATGTGCAGATTTTTCACACCTGTCCCTGGGATACTTCATCCTCCTGCAGCCATGCATCCACTCCTCACAACCTTACATAAATATCACTGAGCTGCTAAAAATAAAACATCAACGTGTAAGATAACATTTGCATATCTCTCCTCCCTAATAAGGTGCATCTTCTTTCCTGAAATGAATTTGATGTCCCTCCTTGGAACAGAAGAAAGGTGAGCTGTAGTGATGATAATGACCTTCGGTACTAGGAGTTGGTAGGTAATGTAACTTGGGAGGAAGCTGTGGATGAATTGGAGAGCAAATAATACAGCATTAAAGGGTCACCTTTGAATTTGGCATTTTAACAAATGTGCGCTCTGGCACTGCAGTAGAACATACGTGAATTTTCAAAAAAGGGTGCTAAGAAAGTGAAATGAAGTTAGAGGAAGTACCGAAACAAGGGAGAAGTTATGTGCACTTTAAAGATGCCTACAATCACAGAGGACTACACATTTTCTGGAAAGATTTAACCATCAGGGTAAAAGTATTTTCAGTCTCAGTCTTTCTGCCACTGACAAAATGAGCTTTTGAAATTTTGGGGCAGAAGAGAAAAACAGAAGCTACTTGCAGTTGTGTCATCTTACATGCAGAGGAGCTATTGAATAGAATGCATGACTAAAGAGATGGGATTTAAAAAAAAACACGTAACACCTTTAAAAAAATCAAAAGTCAGGGAAACTTAAGACTATATGCTTTTGTCTTTAGTGTATGAATAGGAAGGTGGTTATGCATCCCCATAGATAACACTGCTGCAAAGGCAAATGGTTTCAGCTTGGCAATGTTCAATCCAGAGAAGACTCTGATTGTAATTTAAGGTAAGGAACAAAAAAATTGTACTGTTTGAGGGTTTGCCTGTATTGGAAAAATAGTATGTTTAGCTCCAGTGTGTATACTGGGCTCAGGACTTGCTCCTTTCCCTGGCTTTGATGTAAACCATGAAGAATGATTGCTAACAGCCTGTGTAAAGTTTCTTTCCATGCTATGGGGCTTAGAGTTTTTTCCCCTACCCAAAGTCTGTCCTGAAAATACCTGAATCTGGTTTCTTCCTGTAGAAGTACAACACATAGCTTATGACAAGTTTAAAGCTTTTAACATAGCTTATCAAAGAGAAAGTTAGGGAAGAAGTGCCTTGATGTATTTGTGGGTTCCTGTGCAAGAAGAAGTTGTTGTTAGGGGCATTTTAGTCTGGTATAGAGGCACAGAAATGGAAACTTGAAAAAAAAAAATCAGTAGTAAGATTGAGGATGATTAACTAGGGTTACCAAGGAGCATCGTGTTTTCTGTCATTCGGAGCCTTTTTCTCTCCAGCAAGTACAGAGGCTGCAGGTTGAAATCCAGTGACCTCATATCTCATATAGGGGCAATGAAACTGGACAGTTATTAGTATATTAAGGCTTTAAACTATGAAAAAACCCATAGCACTTGGTGGTACCTTGAGGCAGCGAGAGCTGTGACTGACAAGTGGAGGTGATTGGTGATCTTGGATGGGTTGGGGGGGGAGGGGGGAGGTTTCTTTCACTGTACTTGGGTGAAAAGTTGCTGAAGTGTTGGAAATCGGATAATGAGTACCTGGGAATGTGTTCATCATTTCTAGAGAAAAGGATCTTTGAATTATTTGGGACAGGAAAGATATTAAGAGGTTTTTAAGCATTGGGGACTGAAGAGCAACAGCATGGCCTTGAATCATTTTTTGAGTCCAGAGCAGTTAGAATTGTCCAATAAATACTACTACGGATCAGGTCCTACTGAAACCTTCATATGATTTTGGTTTTGCCCAGTACTTGACTGCTTTTGAAAACCAGAATTTTTTGTGATGGTATCTTGATGTTTTTCTCAGCTTTCCATCTCTCAGTAAGTTTTTAGCAGTTTTGAAATTTTCTGGGATGCTGTTTTCTGTAGCTGCCTTTATGAAATGGATTTTTGTCATGAAGAAAAGATACTCGTATCACCTAACAGGGTGGGTAATTAGGACCACGGGCTCTTTGGGTTATCATTGAACCCTTAAGAGGGTGGTAGGCATGTCAGCCAGTCTCTTATGGTCTATGTATGGGGTTTGGGTTGGAAGGGATCTTTAAAGATCATCTAATCGTGTCACTTGAATCCCTAAACTACCTAGCATGAATCCTCTATGATGGAGCTTTTGCTAAAACCTTGAAAATTCTTAGTGTGACAGCCTGTCTAATTTATTACTTGATAGGGGAAACGCTGTTCAGGAATTGCTGTCTTTTATGGTAACAAATCCAGCTTTTCACAGCTGTCAGCCAGAGCTGTCCC